TGAATCATTTAGTAGCACCTGCAGATGTAACCCCATGATGACTTTTATGTGATACAGCCAAGCCTGGATCAACTGTAGCCTCCATCCTGTGTACTGGGATGTCTGTGCTGGACTTAGGTTGGTTTTCTTGATGATGAGAATGTCTGTTTGATCGACATATGGTGGCTTTCAGGGTCTGGGGGAAATCCAAGTAGAAAAATGACTTATTAGAAGAGAGATCTGGGCTATATATAGAGAGATTTGGCTGCCATCAGCATATAGGTTCATTCATTCATTTGTTCATGTATATAGTAATATTTTATTGAGCTTCTACTTCATGCCAACCCCTGATGAAGGTTGGAGAAGGAAATGGCAACCCACTCCAGTATTCTTGCCTAGAGAATCCCAGGGACAGAGGAGCTTGGTGGGCTGCTGTCTATGGGGTCGCACAGAGTCGGACACGACTAAAGCGACTTAACAGCAGTAGCAGCTGATGAAGGTGTAATAGTCTTCTTTCACAAAGCTAACATTTAGTGGATATGTGGCTCTTGGGGGTAATTAATGCTAGGGGAACAGCTGGGATTCCCCTACAGGGAACTTTTGAAATGAGAACATGTGGCATCTACCTGACACCAGAAAACCACCACAAGGAGGCTGTTAAGGACACTGAATAGCAGACAGACAAAAACACATCTAACAAAATACACAGTGAGATACAACAGAGATACACAGCGGTTCACAATTTTTAGAGGTTATACTCCATTTATGCCTATTATAAAATATTGGTTATATTTCTCATGTTGTGCAACCTATCCTTACAGCTTGCTGCTGCTGCTAAGTTGCTCAGTCATGTCCAACTCCTTGTGACCCCATGGACTGTAGCCCATCAGGCTCCTCTGTCCATGGGATTCTCCAGGCAAGAATACTGGAGTGGGTTGCCATGCCCTCCTCCAGGGGATCTTCCCGACCCCGGGATCAAACCCATGTTTCTTATGTCTCCTGCATTGGCAAGTGGGTTCTTTACCACTAGCTCTGCCAGGGAAGCCCCATCCTTATAACTTATTTTATACCTAATAGTTTATACTTCTTTTTCTCCTACCACAATATTGTCTTCCTTTCTTCCTCTCCTTCCTGGTAACCACTGGTTTTTTCTCTGTATCTGTGAGTCTATTTCTTTTTGTTGTTGTTATATTCACTAGTTCGTTTTATTTTTTAGAGTCTACGTATAAGTGATACCATACAGGATTTGTCTTTCTCTGTATGACTTTCTTCACTTAGTGTAATGCCTTCCAAGCTCAACCATGTTGATGTAAATGCCAAATGTTCATTCTTTTTTATGGCTGAGTAATATTCTTTATCACATCTTCTTTATCCATGGATCTGTTGACAGATACTTAGGTTGCTCCCGTATCTTGGCAATTGTAAATGATACTGCTATGAACATTGGGTTGCATATATCTTTTCAAATTATTGTTTTGCTTTTTGATACATACTCAGCAGTGGACTTTCTGGATTATGAGGTAGTTCTATTTTCAGTGTTTATGGAAAAACAGTTTTCCATACTGTTTTCCACAGTGGCTACACCAATTTACTTTTCTACTAACAGTCTACAAGGGTTTGCTTTTCTCTAAATCTTGTCAATATTTGTTATTTGTGTTCATTTTGATGATAGCCATTCTGACAGGTGTGAGGTGACAGTTTATTGTGGATTTGATTTGCATTTCCATAATGATTAGTGATGGTGAGCCTCTTCTCATGTGCCTGTTGGATGCCATTTAATCAGCTTTTAAACTAAATCAGAAAGAATTTAAAAAAAAACAGTAACTAAGGAAGTGTCAAATCTGGCACATGCTTGGTAGGAAGACTGTACATTGATGAGGTGTTTTGGGAAAAGCTGTTTGGAAATACGTGTCAAGAGTCTAAAAATTTTACCCATCTTTAAATCCAGCTATTTCCTTTTTGGAATATACCACAAACTGTTATTTAGTCACGAATAGATGGAAAGGCTTAGACATCAGTATTATTGTCATAATGTTGTTTACAGCAGTGAGTAATTAGAAATGACTTACATGCCTACATGTAGGGGGTTAGTTAAATAAAGGATCAACATGGTTCTACAGGCACTACACACCATTAAAAATGAAGATGTAGGGGATTTTTAACAACATAGGAAGTAGTCATGATACTTTTTTGTGACATAAGAAAGTCATGAACTAATTTATGAGGAAATGGATTGAGAGAAGATATTAGCAATTTTTAAAGGCAACACGGGATCTGTTTTTAGAATATACTCTCTCAAAGCAACAAGAAAAAGATAGGCAAAGACAAATAAGCAAAGATTTTGAGAGGTCATTTTTCAGAAGAGGAAATCCAAAGACTATGAGTCATATAAAGAGATGCTCAGATTCATTGGTGAGACAGATGCAAATTAAAATGAGGGATCACTTTACTTCAATCTGATTGGCAAATATTAGAAAGCAGGGTGATGACAAGCAGGGGTGTGGAGGAGATAGCAGAGGACCCTTTGGAGGTGGGGGAGTGTGGCTCGGTGTCAGCTTTCTGGAGGCATCTTAGCCGACTGTACTTGGTTGAATCAAGAGACATACCTTACTGACTCAGCATTCCTGCCTAGGTGTTTGTACTCAGAGCCAGTCACATGCAGCCCTGTGATGGGAGCCTGGTGGGAATGTCCAGGACAGGATGGAGGGCAGTACAGGAAATCTCAGGCAATCTGACCATCCACTGTGGAGTGAACAAATCAAACAGGCACATGATGCCGAGTGTGAAACATGGAGCAACAGTTAGAGGAAACGCGGTTGACAAATACAGAGCCACATGCTTGGGTCTGAAGTCATAATGTTGAGTGAGAAAGTAAGTTGAGAAAAGATGCAAAAAGCCATTTGGGGAAATTAAAATGCCTTCAGAAATCATGCCATGGTTTATAAGGACCCATGCTATCAAGCAGGTGGGCTGGGTGGGGTGGGGTAGATGGGAATGGGGGATGGAGAGTCTAGGGAAAAGTGAATAAACAGTCAACGCCTGGTCAGGAAGGAGACGGTGCTGAGATGGTGTGAGGCAACTGCCACCTGCCCCTGAGGTGCTGAGTGCTTGCTCACTCAGTCCTGTCCATCTCTTTGCGATCCCATGGACCAGAGCCTGCCAGGTTCCTCTGTCCATGGGATTGCCCAGGTAAGATTACTCGAGTGGGTTGCCATTTCCTCCTCCAGGGGTCTTCCTGGCCCAGTGATTGAACCCTCATCTCCTGTGTCTCCTGCATTGCCAGGCGGGTTCTGTACCACTTAGCCACCTGGGAAGTTCGGCAACTGAGGGTCAAGCCCCCAATGGAAATAAATAAACCCCAGTGAAGTCCCAGCCAACCAACCAATGAAAGCAAAAGTACAAATAAAAAGTTTGTTCCAATGGTATTATTAAACAATATATTTGTAAGAAAAGCTTGAATATCAATGGTCAGCTTTCTAGATGTAGGCCTGCTTGATATTCTTCCTGATATTTTTTTCCTTCCCAATTTTTGATGCTGAATGTACATGACTTTTGTATAAGAAAATGACTTCTGCAAATGAAGTCTGAGAGTAATAAGTATGTTTGATAGAAGAAGAGCAGGGGCTCAAGGAGTTTTGTACCTAAAGGGTGAGAACATTTCAAAGAAGGATGGCTCATCTGGCCATGTGATCTTTAGTTAGTGGGATTTCTAGCCTACAAGGATTCTGTGTTTGGGCTAAGAATAAAGCATGATGTACCTCCTCAGCTTCTAAGCCCAGAGCAAAACATTGTGGACCCACCTCTGTGTTTATTTGTCTGGTTGCCATCCCTTGACTGGTGGCTGTCAGTCGCTGGCTGGATTCCAGGGTGGGCACCTATGTGGTGATATGGTGACATCATGGCTGGGGAGAGCTTCTTGAAGGGCACCTTGACACTGTGGTCTCTGCTCTGAGTTTCCAACACTCCTGACAAACAAACAACAAACAAGCGTTTATTGTGCTGTGAGCCTGTCCTGCCTCAGCTGCAGAGTCTGGCAATTGAAAAGTCACAGACACAAATAATGGTACTTTCTCAAGGCTACCTATCTGGCAAATAAGCCTTTGGCTAGTTTTATGGGCTTCCCAGGTGGCCCTAGTGGTAGAGAATCTGCCTGCTAATGTAGGAGACACAAGAGACATGGGTTCAATTCCTTGGTTGGGAAGATCCCTTGGAGGAGGGCATGGGAACCCGTGCCAGTACCCTTGCCTGGAGAATCCCATGGACAGAAGAGCCTGGCGGGCTATAGGCCATGTGTGTACAAAGAGTTAGACATGACTGAGCGACTGAGCATGCACACATGGCATATATTTCTGTCCTCAGGCCTACTGCCCCCAGCTTCCCAGCGTGTAAATGTCAGTTTTGTGTGTACTAACACAGAAGTTCTTTTAAGTTAACTTGGGGATTTCAAGGGTCATTTTGAGGGTAAAGTTCTCTAAAAATATTGAGTGTGAAGCTAATAATGCTGAGAATGAAGAACTTGCATCCTTTTAGTCTCATGTGATGTAGTTAAAATAGAAGATATGGAATTACATGCCTCTACAAATATTGAGAGACATTTACATGTTTCTTCTATTTACTCAGCATTTTTAAAGAGGAATAATGTCAGATAGTAAAAAAAAAAAAGCAGATTTGGTATTAAAGGTTTACATTTCAGCTGGATGTCTCATTGCCTGGGTGCCTTTTGGATCATCAGTTTCCTTACTTAAATAGAGAAAATAAGAGTACCCATGTCTCTTGTGAGGGAGTCTGTGTAAAGAGACCAGGATGGTGCCTGGCAAATGTTAGATTGTCAGTATGAGTCACATCTAAGTTGGAATCTCTTTCTTCAGAAGTGTTCCTTATTTTAGTCAGTTTCAGATTCTTAGAGGAACCATCTGCTATAGGAACTGGACTAAATGAGGATGATATTTCGTTCCACAATCAGCTTCATCAGAAAGTGTTGTGATGGGACTGTTCAGTTTTCTTGTTTGTTCTGAATTCAGATCTGCTTTGCTGAGGCATGGAGGCGAAAGATGTCTCAGAGGCTGAAGACAGAGCTGAGGATCCAGGTTCTAAAAATAAAGGCCAGCCTGATGCTGCACAACCTGATTTCCCACCAGGAGGGCAGACCCCTGGCCCCACTGCCCTCTGGGAGATGCTAGAAAGGAAATTTCTGGAATACCAGCAGTTGGCTCCCAGGAGCCCGGCTGAGCAACAGAAGAGCCTGTTGAATCTCCTCCCACTGTTCCTAAAGGTTGGTATTCTCATTTTTGAAACTGTAAAAAGATGATACAGCACTCTGGGGACCTTTCTGGGATGATTGGAAGCTGGAGTCGGTGGTTTTAATATCATCACGAGTGATCTCTGACTGGTTGCTTAGAGGAGAGTGTTGTGCTGTTTAATAAAGATAGCAGCAAAGCTTATCTCCAGGGTGAGGATGGACTTGGAAAGGATGGACTTGGAAAGGATGGACAGTTGGCTCTTGAGTATTATTGTCTCTTTAGTTAAAAAAGGACATTGTTCAACAATGATATTGTTCAATACCTGCTTAGGAGCCAGAGGAGAAACCTGCTCCTTTGGAAACTAGGAAAGGAATCTGTGTCCTGACATGTGAGTGGCAGGGTGGCTGGTAACTCCAACACCAGGGCCTGGGAGAGTCAGAACATAAGTTGTGTTGATGTATGCAAACTGATATATAATCAGTGGGGAGCAGCAGAGTAGTATTCCCTTCCTTGGTTGTAGATACACAGGAGAAGCCCAGCCTGTCCACTGGGCTGGCACTCTGGCTGGTGGCAGCTGGGAACAGTTACGGTACAAGGAATTTCCTTTATTGTCTTGGAATAAAGTTCCGGCCAGTGAGGTCTGCCTTGCAGTTGAGTATGTTAAAATCTGATCATAGAGTTAGAAAAGCATTCTTTTTATGAAGACTTAGTTTTTGCTTGACCACTGATTTTGGGATATTATTGCAAAATCCGTGTACTTAACATTCAAAGTATGGAGAATATGAGATATTTTCACATTTGAAAATAAACTTGGATATCCAGGTGGGGGTTTTGGCAGATTTTTATTGGGAAATCCCTTTGCTAATATGTTTCATCTAACCTATTAACCAGAAATACTTAATGATTTCCAAAGTTGACTCAGAATTTTCTTGGGACCATATTTACAGGATGCACTGAATACTTAGGCATGCCTTTCTGTAAAAAATTGCCAAGTAACTTATTGTTTATGAATTCATAATTTTCTCCATGTTTTGGACTGGTATGCTCCACATATCCCATTTCACAGATTGGATAACTGGTGCATAGGGAACTTACTGGAAAAGAGCAACTAGATACAGAGAGGCCACTTAGGTTTTTCATTCCCAGAACTTCCTGCTCTGATGACGCCAACTTCTGGGAGGCAGTCTTACCCAGTTCTCAGATCAACTTTGCCTTATAAAAGGAAACATGTGAGAATCGTTGCCTCTCACCCACCAAGTCACTGGGATAGTATATGGATTCAGCAATAGCACTGTATCTTTCCCACCCCTCTGAGCAGCCCTAGCTCTGATGAAAGGACTCTGCACCTGAGAGCCAGGGCTTGATACCTCTTTGCCTCACTCCAGATTGTTGATTTGAGAATTCATTCTTTTGTTGTACAAATATTTGGGCTTCCCTAGTAGCCAAGATGGTAAAGAATCTGCCTGCAATGCAGAAGATCCAGGTTTGATCCCTGAGTTGGGAAGACCCCCTGGAGAAGGGAATGGCTATCTACTCCAGTATTCTTGCTTGGAGAATTCCATGGACAGAGGAGCTCTTTACTGAGCTCCTATAGCCTCTTTTGGGCTTGGTGCTATGAAAGTAAGGAAGACCAATAGAGGTTTTACCTGTAACAGTCCAGAGCAGAGGATACTGAGTAGGACCTAAAATGTGTTTGTTTGACTTCTAGGGATTAAAAATGAATTCAGTTCAGTCACTCAGTCATGTCCAACTCTTTGTGACCCCATGGACTGCAACACACTTTTATGTCCATCATAAGCCATCATGATGGCTTTTATGTCCATCACCAACTCCTGGAACTTGCTCAAACTCATTTCCATTGAGTCAGTGATGCCATCCAACCATCTCATCCTCTATTGTTCCTGTCTCCTCCTGCCTTCAATCTTTCCCAGCATCAGGGTCTTTTCCAATGAGTTCAGTTCTTCACTTCAGGTGGCCAAAATATTGCAGTTTCAGCATCAGCTTCAGTCCTTCCAATGAATATTCAGGACCGATTTCCTTTAGGATTGACTAGTTTAATCTCCTTGCAGTCCAAGGGACTCTCACAATTGAATTCATTCAAAAATGAATTGGTGCCATTTCTTCAAAGTGGAAAGTTTTCATGTGAGACTCAGATTTCAAATTCCTCTTGAAAATATTTGTAGCTGCAATAGTGCTAATTGGATGGAGATGGTTAGGGGCACTTCTTTAAACAGAAGATGGTCTTGGTCTCTTAGTTTACCCTAGTTCCTCACTCCCTAATACACCCAATCCACATCACTGATTTATGTTATCTGAACCTATATACACATTGACCTCATGAATAGCAAGTGGTTCCTATTATAACCTAACATCGATATTGGTTCATATTTCCCAAACCCTTTCTTAATTACAGGAAGAACGATGGCCCTATTGTTGAATACATGGGATTTCGAGTCAAACAGTCGGGCTCCAGTCCCAGCTCCATTACTTATTAGCTGAGCATCCTTGAGCAAGCTACTAAATTTTACTGAGCCTCAGTTTCCTCATCTGTAAAGTGGAATCAATACCACTTTGCTAGGATACTGTGAGGGCGAGATCAGATGAGGATTGTAAAGTCCACAGCACATGGAAAGTAGACATGGTGCCCATTTCCTTTCCACCAGTCTCCTGGAAACTGACTGCACATGTGCAGTTTGAAATCCCATTAGTTACCATGATCCCCAAAAAAGGTGACAATATCTGCTATGTTTTGGATCTCTGGAGCCCATCTCTGAGTCAGACTATCACCAGCATTTTTTTTTATCATTTTATTAAAATCTATATTCTTTTAAGGCCCATACACTTACAAACCTGTTGTTCCTATTAAGTTTTGACCAATAAAATCCTGCCAGAACTATAGCTCTCAATCTTCTTAATTAAGAACTGGTAGCAGAAAGGAACATGGGGAAGGTGGGAAGTTGGTTTTTTTTGGGGGGGGGGAGGGGTTTTAGTGCAGATAAAATCTGAGCTGTAGATGAAGCCCGAGGATGGCCATTGAATTACAATGTGAGAAGTCAAGCTTGTAAAAAGTCTCTTCTGAATTGTATATCCATAAAACAGAGTTCTTTAAGTTTGTTTGCAAAGAACCCTCTTAGGAGTATCAGGACTTAAAAAGCCATCTCCTGTGGCATGTGGCCAGTCAAGACTTTCCTATATCTCCTTGAGTTCAGAAAGACTGCCACCCCTTGCCCTTGTGTTATTTAGGGAGTTGACTCCAGGATGTTGCAGACAAGGAGGTGTTTTTATTGCATCATGCAGGAAGCAGCACAGAGCCAATGAATTCCCAGGGTGCAGAGTGGTGCTGGCAGTAAGGATTCAATGGACCATTGTTCTTTCCCTGCCAAGAGTCTTGGGCTTTGGTCTTTCTGAAACCTTCCTATCATAAGCTCTTAGAGCAAGAGAAGGCCTTCCTCTCACAAGTATGGGCAGGTCCTGTTGGCCTCCAGTTGACTTTGCTTTAGGGAAAAAGGAACTTCTTGCATTCTTTCATTGCATATAGATATTGGGTAATAATAGATGGAGAAACTAGAGTTACAGGTGTAGTTGTTGAAGATTGTCCCTAGAATATGTACTTTGAGAGAAAGCAGGTAGCTAGATGATGGGGATTCCTTGGCAATTAGTGTAAAATTCCTCCTTGTCTGGGACAGACAGTCTCAGGGGTGGGATGACCTGGGGAAAAAGGCAACTCTGTGCATTTGGTAGATTAGGGACACTGCTAATAGGTTCACACTGCTCCCTTCAAGAGGTGACATCTGTGTCCCCTCCCCTGGAACCTGGATGGGTTTGTGATGGTTTGACTAATTGACTAGGGCAAAAATGACATTTCCAGGCTCAGGTCTCAAGAGAATTGTAGCTTCTCCCTGTCACTTGGAATACCTGCTCTTAGAACCCTGATGCCATGTTGTGAGGAAGCACAGGCAGCCCTGAGTAAAAGCCCATGTGGAGAGAACCAAAGCTCCTGACATTGCAGCTGCACTGCTGTTGACAGCCAGAACAATTTGCCAGCCATGCGAGTGTGCCATCTTGGACCTCTTAGCCCTTGTTCACTGCCCCAGCTGAGTGAAGCAGAGAAAAGCTGTTCCTGCTGAGCTCTGCCCGAATTGCAGGTCCATGAGAAAAATAAATGATTGCTGTTATTTTAAGCCCCTCAATTTGGGCTTGTTTGTTATACAGCAGTAGATAATCAGGACAGTGGGTAAAACAAGCAGGAATCCATTTATTTCCTAGTGCTGGGGGATTGGAATTAAAGCCAAGTCAGTTGTGTGTGTGTGTGTGTGTGTGTGTGTGTGTGTGTATGTGTGCATGTACACAGGTGTGCATAGGTACTCTTAGGCTAACTGCCTGGCCAGTGGTACAGAGTTTATGCTGTTGGATGTAGTCAATTATTCTTATATAAACCCAGCATGTACTCAACTGACTATGGGAGAGAGAGAAGTGACATTAAATATAATAGCAAGGATGACCAAGAGTTATTTCCAAGTGTGGTATCCAGAGGGGATGGTGAGGATAAATACCCCTCTTGTTCATCTCTGGCTCTAATCCACTTCAGAATGGGGCCTGCAACATGGTTTATTCCCTTCTCAGGGGAACAATATTTTTGTTATGTTAATAAACTTTTGATGCATCAGTTTTTTCTGCTTACAAAGGAGAGAATTATTTAGCAGGGGAAACTCATGTAAAGTATCTGAAATGTTTTGAGTTTACTTAAAGGCCAAGTCATCAAACTCTGCAGCAATGAAGAAATAGCAATACTGCAGTCACACTTGAAAACTACCAGGTTCTCTTTCAAAGCCAAGGTTTTCTCTCATTTCCTCTAGAGCTTCTGTCATTCCTTATGCTCTAGAGACCAGAGCATCATTTTCTTTTTCTTTCTTCCATGTGAGGGGACAGACATAAGACATGATGGTGCAGCTTAGAGAATGTAAGTAAATAAAAATTTTTAAAAATATTGAGCAATATTCTCCCAGCATGCAAATCCCAATTTGGGGAAAAA